CCTTTCCTAGATAAAATGATTGAACCTTTTGAAACCAACTTAATGTATTTCACCAATAAAGATTTAGTCCGTCCTGCATGTTCTGCAAACACCACAATCATGACCATGATCAGTGGAACAATTTCCTGATCCCCATGTGGGATCAGGAGCCCCATGGATCAGGGGGCTTCCATGGGGCTTAACTTTTGCAGTCCGGGTAGGACATACCGTAAACTGCAGAAAAATTCTCTGTTCTATCTGATTGAAATTAAAAATTAATCTTCTTCAAAAATACTTCACTTCTTAGTATATGCATGAGACTGGCGATTTTCTTATCTTCCGAAGAATTATCGAAGAACAGTTTCAAAAACTGAGTCATTTTGACAACCATGGAATCATCATATACTATAAAAAGAGTCACTTAATGTGACAGGTACTAGTAAAAAAAAATGTGGCAGTCCGTTGAACTGCTGGCACCAACTATTGTCCCAAAGTTGGGTTATGGTTTGGTGGGGACTTTGTCTGAAATGCTTTCAGCAAATGATAAAGATTCCGAGCCATAGAATATCGTTATCATGTTTCATAAGATAAATGAGAAAGAAATAGAAAAGTAGAAGGAAAATGTATAGGTCTCATCAAAAGGTCCATATTATCATGATATTTTTGGGGTTTATACTTGAGATTTTTGTTGAATGATAATGTTTACAACGTTAATTTTTTTTACAGCTTTTGGAGTTGGGAATTTTAGTTCATTCTGTAATCATTGGAATATCATTAGGTGCTTCAGTAAAAACAAAGACAGTGAAGCCTCTTGTAGCAGCACTTACGTTCCATCAATTTTTTGAGGGAATGGGACTTGGTGGATGCATCTCTCAGGTAAAATATCTAATAAGTGTAGTCTTAACTACATCAATTTCACATGTGATTTGATTTTCATTTTGCAGGCAAAATTCAAGCAGAGAGCTGTAGCGATAATGTTTCTGTTTTTCTCCATCACAACTCCTACTGGAATTGCAGTTGGGATTGGCATATCAAACATGTACAATAGACAAAGTTCAACTGCACTCATTGTTCAAGGGCTTCTAAATTCAGCATCTGCTGGGATACTGATTTACATGGCACTTGTTGATCTCCTAGCAAATGATTTCATGAACCCAAAAATGCTGAGCAATTTTAGACTTCAACTTGGAGCAAATTTCATCCTTGTGTTAGGAGCCGGTTTTATGTCAGTTTTGGCCATATGGTTGTAAAATGTAAATCTCCTCTACTCATTACTGCTCTAGCAGGCAGAGGAACTTCATCTTATATTTCCTTTTGTTTAGAGCTCTAGAGCTTCTCCTCCATTCTTGAAGAAGTAGAATGTTTGTAGGAAACATAAAATGCAACCACTTAAATATCATATTCTATTTAGCCAGCTAAGTTTTCAGAAGAGAGTGAATATGTGTTTACCAGATAAATTTAATGCAAAATTTTAAGAAAAGACATGTTCTAAAGGAACAATATAATTAAGGGCAAGTCTGACTCATCTTCCAGGGCACCCAACCAATGTGGGAATGTAATCTCTTGACTGCAGGCATATGTGCCTCAAAGAAGCAACAACTCAAAAGGCCCAGTGATTCCCAGCCATTCAAGTTCATTGCGGTGATAGGACCCAAGAAAGCTAACAGGTTTTAGAAGAAATTTTTATTTTAAAGAAAGTTAAAGGAATATGGAAGACGAAATATCAATTTCTTTTCACTTATGTGAAATGTTTCACGTTGAGTGGAAAAGCTTAAAAGAAGGAGGAATAAGAGAGCAACCATTTTGGACCTCCCATGAAGTCCACTCTAGGATCTTTAGTACAAAACTATCAACTATAAGGTGGACAAGTTTTGTTTTATGGGGTTCATCCTTGGCCAATCATCTTTGAGAATACGAATAAAGTCAAGTCAAATGCTGCTCTAAATTAATGGAAGTATATCAAATTAATGATATGTCATGGGCCAGAAATGCAAGATAGAATGTATAAGGACAATTTTGATAAAGCTTTTACTCCAGTGAAGGGTCTTTGAAGTTTAAGCAGGCTAAAATAAATGTTAGTCTAGACTGGAAAGAATATTTCTATTCATTGTTTTTACCCTAAAGTCGCATCAACTATTATAACCAACAGTACTAACTTTTAATGTTTGAAGTTTGAAGATCCTGTTTAGCACTTTAATTAGTATATTCATAAAGTAAAATATCATCATTTCCAAATAAGAAGACAGAAGTTTAATAATGTTGATGGGCTCCATGAGTCAGCAATGAGATAGCATGCATACAAAAGAAATAAAAGCAAGAGAGAAGATAAAGTAAAGGAAGGAAAAGAGAGAGCTTTTTCATGTAGCCCTGTGGGGTAAATGTTGACATGCAATTCTTTGCAGTGTGCTTAGGAAAGCTTTGGCAATGCCAGGTGTTTGGTGATTGAACTACATGACAACATTATGAGCTAATGCCTGATTAGTGACGAACTATTGTTTTATTTTTTATGAACTAGAGTATAATTAATATCCTTTTTTTAGGGGGGAAAGTAAACAAAGGGGTTAGATTATTCTATCTATTTCTAAATTGTAAGCTATACAAAAAAAATTAATCACAAAGTTAGAAGTAACAATATTTTATGTCAATCTGATCAAATCATAGTGAATTAGAAGAGAGAAAAGGAGGATAAAAAATTCACCTTTTAAAAATTGTGATTTGATTTGATTTTATTAGTTAAGACAAAAACAAAACTATTTTCAATGTTAATTTACTTTTCTAAAAAATAAAAAAGAAAACCTACTTTCAATATTAATTTACTTAAAAATTAAAATAGAAAGCTAAAGAAGAGTTGTATTATAAATATTACACTAGTTCTCTTTCTCTTTTCATCTTTGAAGCCATGGATGATCATAAGAACACAATGATATCTAATGTTTTTCTGTGTCTTTTTTTTCTTTGTCTTCCTCTCTTAGTTTCAGCAGAATGTAGCTGTGAAACTGAACTCCAAGAGAACAACAGCAACAACAAGATCAAAGCTTTGAGGTATAAACTTGCTGCAATATCATCCATCCTGTTATCCAGTGCACTAGGCGTTTCAGTCCCACTATTGGGGAAGAAAATCCAGATATTTCGACCTGAAAACAATATTTTCTTCCTGATCAAAGCCTTTGCAGCTGGTGTGATTCTTTCAACTGGTTTTGTACACATTCTACCTGATGCATATGAGTCCTTAACCAGCCCTTGCCTCCGGGAAAAGCCTTGGCATGATTTTCCCTTCACGGGGCTGGTGGCGATGGTTTCTGCTATGGTGACAATGATGATTGATTCATTTGCCACTAGTTTTTACAAAATATCACATTTCAGCAAAGCTTTGCCTGTGAACGGTGATGAGGAGATGAGAGGAGAGCATGAGGGGCATGTTCATGTTCATACTCATGCAACCCATGGACATGCTCATGGCTCTGCTATTGCATCACATGATTCTGGTTTATCCGACCTCGTAAAGTATCGTATTGTATCTCAGGTATTGCTGTTTTCCTCTCCATGATTCACATCCCCTCTTTTCTCCCTCTGATTTTCTTGTTACAGGTATTGGAGTTGGGAATTGTGATTCATTCGGTGGTAATTGGGATCTCCTTGGGTGCTTCCCAAAGTGCCAAGACAATCAAGCCCCTTGTAGCAGCACTTACTTTCCATCAATTCTTTGAAGGCATGGGTCTTGGTGGATGCATCTCTCAAGTAAATAACTAGTTGCCCATCTCCTCACCTCCATTTTGATGAAGGAAATTTCAATGATGATCTTGATGTGCTCTTATTTGTTGTTTCAGGCAAAATTTAAATCCAGGGCAATTGCAGTGATGGTTTTGTTCTTCTCCTTGACTACCCCAATGGGAATTGGGTTAGGGATTGGGATATCAAGAATTTACAATGACAATAACTCCAGGGCTCTTATTGTTGAAGGAATATTTAACTCTGCTTCAGCTGGGATCTTGATTTATATGGCACTTGTGGACCTTCTTGCTGCTGATTTTATGAACCCTAGAATGCAAAGCAATCTTAGGTTGCAGCTTGGTTCTTATCTCTCACTTCTGCTTGGGGCAGGCTGCATGTCACTCTTGGCCAAATGGGCCTAATTCCCTAGTGTGGCACTGTGGCTAGTGGCGCCACTTTAGCTTGTTCCGTACCATTTTTGGCCTTTTTGTTCTTCTTCTTGTTGTTTTCTTTGTCTGAATTGTCTTGTAATCTTGTAATACTGTAATTGAGTTTGTTAAAGGTCAATGTCAACCCTAAAAATTTTACTTATTGACACTATTAGCGCTAAAAATTATTATTTATCTCTAATAAAGAAAAAATTCCCCTTCTTTTTATTTTTCCCAATCCAAAAAGGTTTTAAAATGATATAAAAAAAGTTTTATATTTTACAATTTAAAATATAATATATTGTAAAATAAAAATTATTAAATAAAAAACAACACCTAACAACAAGGGGTCAATAGTTTATGGTATGTAATGGGAACTACACTACCTTTTTTGATATAATAAAAATGAAAATTTGTTTTATAATTTCAAACTGTATTTGATTACAAAACATAAACTTTTAAATAAAAATAAGCTCTTTAACATTGAGATTCTTTTTTCTTTTTTCTTTTTTTTTTTGTTAAACAGATTTACAATTTGAAGGTGAAGGGTGAAGGACTGGAACCCCAACCCAAATGCTAAGAGATGCATTTTATAAACTGATTTATAACAGTTAAGCCGTGAGATCCACATGTGAGATTCTTCTTCTATTTAACCATTTTCATTTTACAAATTAATATAATTTCAACCTTAAAATAACATATTCTAATAAAAAGGCTTATAAGTAAGCCCAAAAAACAGCCAGGCTCTTTTGAAAAACGGTCACCATTCACCAATTTGCACTCGTGGGCCGCGGTCCAACAAATTTAAATTCTAGGCCCAATTGGTTAGTTTAACAGATGGATCTCGCACGTCGGACCTGACACGTACTGCAACTTCCACCCATCATCAATCCGAAAAAAACAGAGTTCCTCTGGAATTCCGTATAAACCCTAATTTCTGCAGCCGAGGGCTGAGATCACCGTACCCGAACAAGACGAAGAGGAGGAGGTAGAGGAATCAACACCGCATCAAGAGGGATAATTTTTTTTTGGTATAAAGTCTTGCGTTGAATATGGGGAAGAAGAAGAAGAAAGTGTCGTCAAAGGTGTGGTGCTACTATTGCGACCGAGAGTTCGACGACGAGAAGATTCTTGTGCAGCACCAGAAGGCGAAGCACTTCAAGTGTCACGTCTGTCACAAGAAGCTCTCCACAGCTGGTGGTATGGTCATCCATGTCCTCCAGGTGCACAAGGAGAACGTCACCAAGTATATTACCGAAACCCTAACTTCTGCTAACCCATAATTGGGTTATGTCGTCTTTTTCTTAAATTTTATTCAAGAAGTAATTTTAGTTGGGTTTCTTTTTCTTGATCGGTGTTGCTTGTCAATTTTTTTTTTTTTTTTTTTTTGGTTTTATTTTTAAGAAAAATAGAAGGAATCGAGGAATTAACTTTTTCTAGATTAATGGTAAATTTTCAGGTGCATTGATGTTTGTTAGCTATTGGATAATGTAAATGTTATTTCTGCTTAGTGTTCCAAATTTCTGTACTCTGAAGTTCAAATTTTTATTTTTTGGGGGCTTGAATTGATAGTGATAAAGAGTTGTTTTTTTCTTCTTCTTTTTTTTAAGTATCCTAGCATTGCATTGATCACCTTGGAAATATTTATTTTGTTGCAGGGTGCCAAATGCAAAACAAGGCCGAGAATCAACTGATATTGAAATATATGGAATGCAAGGAATCCCTCCTGATGTATTGGCTGCTCACTATGGAGAAGAAGGTATGTGTTGCTACTAGTTATTTTTTACATTTAAAGAAAATGATATTTTAATCGTTTATCCTGAAAATTTAAAGTTTCTGGCAGAGGAAGAGACCCCATCAAAAGCAGCCAAAGTGGATGTTACATCTACTCCGCTTGTAGGTGGTATGGTACCACGACCTCTTGGTGTTGGATATCCTCCTCAATCAAGTTTAGCTTCAGTCCCTCCCATGTATGTTCTTTTTCCTTTTCCTTGTTTTTTTCCCGGTTCCTTCATTATCATTCTATGTTAGTTGCATTCTCATCATTAAACTTCATTTATGATTCTTTATGATCATATGTTTTTGTTTACATGTTTCATCTAGTCATCTCCAAGTATGTAACTTTTATGTTCACATTTATTAAAATTTCTTATCCAAAAAATTGTTATATGGAACACGTTGGATGTGAATGAGCATGTGAAAATGAATCTTGTTGGTTTCAAACTTGTCATAGCAGCCAATCAAGTTATGGGATGTGAGTTAATCAGTCCTGCATAAGTCATATCAGTGAGTGTTCTAAACGGCATGTCTCATTGGTCATTCTGTGTGCAAAGGACAGAAAGTAACAAAAATTTCTTCTCTCCAATTTGTGTTTGGCTTAGATACAATCCTGCTGTGCCAGTTCCACCAGCTGGTTGGCCAGTACCTCCTCGTCCTCAGCCGTGGTTTCCACAGCATCCAGCAGTCTCAGTTCCTCCTGCACCTATAGGATATGCACAGCAGCCGTTATTTCCTGTTCAAAGTGTCAGGCCTCCTATGCCAGTGTCATCAACAACATCCCCTGCACTGCAACCTTCACAAATTGCTCCTCCTGGATTGCCTGCATCAACCCCTCCTGGTTCTGTACCTCAGCCTCTATTCCCTGTTGTCAGTAACAATGTACCAACCCATAGCTTGCCATTCTCTGCTCCGTTTCCAACAAGTATTCCACCAAGCTCCTCTGCAGAAGTTAAAAGCACGAGTGATGCACAGTCAGGTGTTAATGCAGCTATGACAAGTACCTATCAAGCCGCAACCACTCCTGGTATGCGTCTTGTAAACTACTGTTTCAATGTACTTCTTTGAGTATTGTTTTTCTTTTAATTGCTGTCAACTTGCATTGGCTTTGTCAAGCTTAATGGTACTAAAAGCGTTTCTTAGTCTCTTCTCTCTCTAGTTCTGTTTGTTTTCCAAACTAAAGAATTTGTTACTCCCAGTTCATTTATTTGGTTGAGCTGATCTTTTCAAAATATTGTAACATATATGTTTTCTTTGTGTCCATACTGTAGGTGGAGTAGTAGCTAATTCACATTCTTATGCCTCTGGTCCAAATACTGGTGGTCCATCAATTGGGCCACCTCCTGTAATTGCAAACAAAGCTCCAACTACCCAGCCAGCAGTCAATGAGGTCTATTTAGTTTGGGATGATGAGGCAATGTCCATGGTTAGTTCCCCCACCCCCCACCCCTTAAATTTTGGCAGTTGCATTTGCTCCCCAGTTCTGACAAGGTACATTTGTTCTGGAATCATCACAATCTTGTTACTCAATATTCTAATTTTTTATATTTGCAGGAAGAGAGAAGAATGTGCTTTCCAAAGTATCAGGTGCATGATGAAACTAGCCAGGTAAGTCATAACTACCCCCTTGATATTTGGAGTTGCTTTGTGCATCTAACCAGATGGGCAGGCTTTATGTTTCATAATTTCAGATTTGGTTATTTACGCTTGTTACCTATTTAATGAGGTATTTCGATTTCAATTCTGTTTTACTTTATCCTATTAAAAGAAGCCTGAATGCAAAGAACTTGTGAACACTGTATACTAGAACTTTTTTGTTTTTTCTGCATCTTATCATTGAACATCATTATTTTAATAGTAATTTTAAATCAAGCAAAGCCTCCAACTATGTGGCTATCAAAGGGCTCAAGTAGGTAGTTACATTTTATTTTCATTGTTGGTAAATTACAATTTTGACAAGCCTGCCGCAATCACTCAAGGGTTCTCCAATCTAGGATTGTCCTCAGTTAAGAACAGAGTATGTATATGATCTTTTAAAATCTGGATTTATTCATTACCATTCATTCTCCCTTTGCTTGATTTTGGAGTGTGGGGGTTTGGGTGGAACAAGATGATACCCAACAGATTTTTGCCCACTCATAGCTTGATTACAATGTATTTTAATGATCGTCAATTCAGACTTGGCCCAGGTCAGCTTCTTTCACAAAGTTTGATCTCTTGAATAGGACCAAACTTTAATGTATCTGGTACTGGTTTGGCCAACCGATTGGTGGCTGTGGTTCCTGTCTGATCAATTTCTTATGTCTTTTATTGTCAGATGAGCTCTATTGATGCTGCCATAGATAGAAGGATATCAGAAAGCAGGCTTGCTGGTCGAATGGCATTTTAGATCAACTGGTCCTCCCCGGAGATTTACTTCCATGCATTTTTCCTTTTATTTGGCTGAGTTGAAGTGTGCAGAGGAGCTGTCAAGATACCATCCTTGATTCCATGTGAAGTTTTGGGGTACATGAACCAAATCGGATGTAACCATGTTCTATTCTTTTCTGTAAAGTGGGGCAGAAGAAGATTCTTTTAACCTTATTTTCCCCTCTTTAATTAAGGAGAAAAAGGAGTTGCAAAATGCATAACTTTGTGTAAAATTTTTCTAATTTTAAAGGATTTTGTGGTAAACCACCACCTAGGATGTGATTTTGATCATGTTTATTTGTTTATGTGTCCAAAAATGGTGAATTTAAGAATTTTTTTCCTCTATCTGCAGTCATTGTTAACTACTTTCTTAAAGGAATCCATAATTGTAAAATTTGTTAGAAGATTTGGGCTTTACTCCAGGTAATCAAATTTTTATATTGGATCTTATGTTTGGCGGTTATCGTGTAACAAAAGTGTTTGTGAATGACACTTGATAAGATGGGATATATGGTATGTTGTGTTTCTATTATGATATTTGCATAAGTGGGGCTATCCTGCATTTTATGTTCTTTTTCCTAAGTTCTCTCCTTTCAGCATTCATTTATTCAATGTTTGGGTGGAGATGCCTTAATAATTTTCCATATCCATACCTTTGATTTCATTACTAACTAACTTCCTGTTTTGAATATGTTACACAGAGTAGAGCTGATAATTACTCAAAAGACTCTCACTAATTGTGATGTCTCCATGAAATGCTAATGTCTCATTCTTTGTTAAATTACTACTAATTTTCACAATAAACCACTTTTCTATGCAAGGAACGATGTTTTGTTTTTATAGGAAAGTGAAGTGTGGTGTACCCTAAGCGGACTGCTCCTTACTTATCTATCCATGGAAGGGGCGAATGAAGCAGGTCTACCCATCCATCAATTTGTTAACTGTTTTACGGTTTATCTGGATAATTATGTTGTTCTTATATATATAAAATATCAATTCATATAACACCTGATTTTGTGACACAATGGTTTTTTATCTCATAGTAAGATATATTTCTCCAGCTTTAAAATTAGGGTTCGAATCCCTCATTCTCAATTTGGAAACCGTTTAAAAAAATATATATCAATTCATGTAAAATATAACAGTATTACACTACTCAGCCACCTGCCACGTTTCTTTATTAGTTATAATGGTACAAAAGATTATACGTAAGTTTTTAATATTAATGTGTTATTAAATAAATAAATACATATAATATAAACGTGAGCTTTCATATAAAATGGTCAATTATATAATTGACATTAATGACTATAAACTAACAATATAATTTATCCTTGTAACTATATGATTTTCCATATGAAAAGCTAGTTTTTTTTTTTTTTTTGCTACTTATTATTATATAAATAAACGAGGCATGAGTTTGCCAGTATACTATGATTCGGAGCTACTGGGCCGTGATCTGGTATATTCAGATTATTATTAGGCCCAATTGGTTCTTTTAACATATGCATCCTAGGACGATTCTCGTCGGACCTACTTGGATCGTGACTTAATCATTCAATCAGACAAAAACGAAGATCTTCTCAAATTCCACATCCACAGAAACCCTAATTTCAGTTCCTGAAATCTTCATTCCCCATACACAAGAGAGGAAGAAGAATCAGCACATCAACTGGGAGAGGTTTTTTTTTTCTTTTTTCTTTTTTTTTGATAAAAGTTCTGCTGTGGATATGGGGAAGAAGAAGAAGAGAGTATCGTCGAAGGTGTGGTGCTACTATTGCGACCGGGAGTTCGACGACGAGAAGATTCTTGTTCAGCACCAGAAGGCGAAGCACTTCAAGTGCCACGTCTGTCACAAGAAGCTCTCCACAGCCGGCGGCATGGCCATCCACGTCCTCCAGGTGCACAAGGAGACCGTCACCAAGTATCTTCCAAAAACCCTAACTTATGCTTACCCGTAATTGGGTCGATAGAATTTTTATGTCATCCTTGATTGTGGAATTTTATTCAAAGAGTAATTTTTGTTGGGTTTCTAAGTTTCCTTCTCTTCATTGGGGTTGCTATGATCAATCTTTTTGCTCTATTTTATGAAAAATAAAAGGAATCAAAGAGCTAACTATTTCAGAATTAGTGCTAAGTTTTAAGTGTTATTGATGTCTGTTAGCTTTTGGTTAATGCAATTGCTATTTGTGCATATTGTTCCATAGTTCTGCACTCTGAAGTTCTATTTTTTATTTTTAAAGGGCTGGATTGGCAGTAAAGAAGTGTTATATATATTTTTATCAAGTATCCTAGCATTACATTGATCACGTTGAGAATCCCCTTTTTGTTACAGGGTGCCAAATGCAAAACCAGGCAGGGAGTCTATTGACATTGAAATATATGGAATGCAAGGAATCCCTCCTGATGTATTGGCGGCTCATTATGGAGAAGAAGGTATGGGTCTCTACTGGGTATTCAGTTTCACATTTAAAGAAATTGATATTTCAATGATTTATCCTGAAAGTCTTAAGTTTCTGGCAGAGGAAGAGGCCCCTTCAAAAGCAGCAAAAGTGGATATTCCATCAACTCCACTTGTTGGTGGTACGGTACCAAGACCTCCTGGTGTTGGATATCCTTCTCAATCAAGTTTAGCTGCAGTCCCTCCAATGTAATATATATATTTTTTGGAACATAGACTAAGATTTATATTTTTCTATAATGCAATCTATAATGCAGTATTGCTTGCCAAACTCAAATCTTTTATTGGGCAGTACAAGATTCCTTTCCCCTACTATCATTCCATATTAGTTAACTTCTCATTGTTAAATTGAACATGATTCTTTATGAACAATCATTCTTGTTTTACATTTTTCATCTCCGAGTATGCTAAATTTCTGTTCACATTATGAAATTGTCTTATCCTAAAATATTGTTAATATGGAACACAATGAATGTAAAATAGCATGTGAATATGAATCTTGTGCGTTTTAACCTTTTAGTAGCCAAACAAATTATGGGATGACACAATCAGCCTTTCATAAGTTGTACCAGTTTTCTAAACATTATCCTGGTTAGTCTGTGTACAAAGGACAGAAAGTAACAAAGATTCTTCTTATCTTCTCTCATGTTTGTGTTTGGCTTAGATACAATCCTGCTGTGCCAGTTCCTCCAGCTGGTTGGCCGGTACCTCCTCGTCCTCCGCCATGGTTTCCACAGCATCCTGCAGTATCAGTCCCCCCTGCACCTATAGGATATGCACAGCAGCCATTATTTCCTGTTCAAGGTGTCAGGCCTCCTCTGCCAGTGTCATCAACTACATCCCCTGCACTGCAACCTTCACAAGTTGCTCCTCCTGGATTGCCTGCATCAACCCCTCATGGTTCTGTACCTCAACCATTATTCCCTGTTGTCAGTAGCAATGTACCAACCCATAGCTTGCCATTCTCTTCTCCTTTTCCAACAAGTATTCCACCAAGCTCTTCTTCAGAAGTTAAAAGCACAAGTGATGCACAGTCAGGTGTTTATGCGACTGTGACAAGTGCCTATCAAGCCTCAACCAGTCCAGGTATGACAAGTCTTGTAAACTACCGCCTCAACATGCTTCTTTGAATATTGTTTTTCTTTTAATTGCTGTCACCTTGCATTATTGTTGTCATGCTTAATGATAAACCTTTTTTAATTGCTTTGCTCTCTAGTTCTGTTGAGTTTGTTAACTAAAGAATTTGTTACTCCTAGTTCATTTATTTAGTTGAGCTGACCTTTTCAAAATATTACTACATATTTGGTTTCTTTGCTTCCATTTACTGTAGGTGGATCAGTAACTAATTCACATTCTTATGCCTCTGGTCCAAATACTGGTGGCCCATCAATTGGGCCACCACCTGTAATTGCAAACAAAGCTCCAGCTACCCAGCCAGCGGTCAATGAGGTCTATTTAGTTTGGGATGATGAGGCAATGTCCATGGTTAGTTCCCCCCCCTCCAGGCCCCCCCCCCCAAAAAAAAAAAATCCCAATTGCATTTGCTCTCTGTTGTATTGGATTAATCACAATCTTGTTACTCATGATTGTAATTTTTTTATATTTGCAGGAAGAGAGAAGAATGTGCTTTCCAAAGTATCAGGTGCATGATGAAACTAGCCAGGTAAGTCATAACTACCCCTTTGATATTTGGAGTTGCTTTGTGCATCTAACCAGATGGGTAGGCTTTATGTCTCATATTTTCAGATTCGGTTGTTTACGCTTGTTCTAATAAATGAGGTACTTCAATGTGAATTCTGTTTTATTTTATCCTTGTTAAAATAAACCTGATTGCAAAGAGCTTGCGAGCCCTTTAATCTAGTAATTTTAAATCAAGCAAAGTCTCCAACTATGTGGCTGTTGAAGGGCTCAAGTTGTTAGTTACATTATTTTTGTCTTGGTAAATTACAATTTTGTCAAGCTTGCTGCAATTACTCAACGGTTCTCCAATCTAGGATTGCCCTCGGTTAAGAACAGAGTATGTATATGATCTTTTAAAATCCAGATTTATTCATTACTATTCATTCTCTCTATGCTTGATTTTGGAGTGTGGTGGTTTGGGTGAAACAAGATGACACCCAACAGATTTTTTGCCCACTCATAGCTTGATTACAATGTATTTTAATGATCGTCAATTCAGACTTGGCCCAGGTCAGCTCCTTTCACAAAGTTTGATCTCTTGAATAGGACCAAGCTTTAATGTATCTAGTACTGGTTCGGCCAACTGATTGGTGGCTGTGGTTCTTGTCTGATCACTTTCTCATGTCTTTTATTGTCAGATGAGCTCTATTGATGCTGCCATAGATAGAAGGATATCAGAAAGCAGGCTTGCTGGTCGAATGGCATTTTAGATCGACTAGCCATCTTCAGAGTTCTTCTTCAATGACTCATTGCTTTATCTGGCAGAGTTGACATGAGGTGCACGGAGGAGCAGCCCCAGATTCCATCCTTGATATTACATTAAGTTTTGGGGTAAAAGAACCAAATCAGATGTAACTGTGACTGTGTATTCTTTTTAGGAAATTGAGGTTGAAGGAGGACTCTTTTAACCTTATTTTTTCTTCCTTAAAGGGTTATGAAAGAGGAGTTACCAAATGCAAAACTTAATGCAAATACTATTTAATTTTATGGATATTGTGGTAAACCACCCTTTAGGATGTGAGTTTGACCATGTTTAATTGTTTGTGGATCCAAAGATAGTGAAATTTAAGAGTTTCATTTATTAGGCGGCAGTCTTTGTTAGCTGACATTTTTTTTTTACTGGATAATGGATTGTAAAGTTTGTTAGAAGATTTTGAGCTTTTTAGTTTTCATAATCAATTTTTATTTTAGAGTTCACAAATGGTAAAAAAAAAAAAGGGGGAAAAAGGATTACTGATGGGATTATATTTTGTAGAATTGATATTGTTGATGTTCATTGATAAAATGAATTTAGTGATATAAGAAATGAATAAAAATTCTCTTTTCTAACTTTATAGGTCATGTAAGAGAATAACTAATCAATCAATAACAATTATTTTTTAAGAAGGGTAATCTGTGGGTGATTTTCGGGGGGAAAGGGAATGGGAGGATTCGAACATGAGGATGCTAGGAACATCTTTGGGGGAGTTACCACTTGCTCTATTTAGAAGATCAATCAGATAACAACATGATGTGATTGCCTTTTTTTTTTTTTCTTAATAGAGTTGCATTGTGGGTAGATGGGGGAACGAGAAGGATTCGAATATGATTGTCTTAATTTCAATTATTTATTTTATTTTAATGACACTTATTTAGCATTACAGAAAGACTTTAATATTAAGGTGATCAAAAAATTGAAAAATGCATTGTTAAATGTCTAATTTCTTGAGGAAAGTTAAGGAAACACAAGACTTTGTGTTGATTTTATGTTAAATTGTAATTTTCTTGGGTTAGTTGATGTGCATGTGGCAATCTTTGACATAAACTTTTGTTAAGAAACTCTAATTGAACTTTGACAAATAAACCATTTTGTTTAAGATTAATTTGGGAGAGAATAAACTTTCTAAACCAAAATGATAACAAACAAATAGTTAATACACCAAATATTTATATTTAGTCACTTTCCTAGGGGAAAAAACTTCATAGAACCAAACACAACCTAAAACCCAAAACCCTACCCTTTCTGAAACACCCTTCCAGGATTAATTCGTACCGGAAACACACACTCGGCTTGTTCTTCCCGGAGTGAAAAATCGAATCTTTCTATGCTTTTTGCGTAGAACAAACACCAAGATGAGAGCTTTGAGAGCAGTAAGAACTTTCAGTTCCTTCTCGCCCCAACCACAGAAACCCCATCTAAATCCAGTTCCTCTGTTTCGCTTCTTCTCGGCACAAACGCAACAACAAGACCAAAGCTCCACCGCAACCCTATCCGACGCAGAAACCAGCAACAGTGACTCCGTCTTTGACAGTGCCGACTTTGCCATCCCCAACTTTGATTCAAAAAATGCCTCCCAAAGCCGTCAAGAACCCCGCTGGGATGAGAAGTACAGAGCAAGAGCTGATAGAATCGTCTTTGGGGAGGAGACCCAAAAGAACAGATGGAGAGAAGAGGAGGATGAGATGAAAAGGAGGGCTCTTGCAAAGGCACTGCTTGAAGCTGCGCTAGGAGGAGCAGAAGAGGAGGAAGAGGAGGTAAAGGAGGAGGACCAGAAGTCTCTCTCTGTTGGGATAATCGGTGCTCCGAACGCTGGGAAGTCTTCACTGACTAATTACATGGTTTGTGGATGAGTTTTGTTTGTTAGTTTTTGATGCAGTGTTTAGGTGCTATTGGATGAGTATGAATGTCTATTGAATTTTATGGCATTTTCTGCCCGTAAGTCTTTAGCAGTAGATAATTTGGTGTTACTGTTGTGTTTGTTATGCCATTGATTTGGTCGTCAGGGTTAAGAATTACACTTTTTTGTGAATGGAGTTGATTTTATGGCTGCCTATTAAACCGTTATATGTTCATTGCATTTGTTGTAGGTTGGAACAAAGGTTGCTGCAGTTTCACGAAAGACAAACACAACTACTCATGAAGTGTTGGGTGTCATGACAAAGGGGAACACACAAATTGTATGTCTTTTTATTCAATTTCATTAGCATCATTTTTAGCCTTTGGCACTAGGTTATTCACAATGAAATGAATCTTTCTTTGAAACTTGGAAGAAAAAGCTACTGTGTTACTGCATCATTGGATGCTGATTATGACCTGGTCTTAGTTGTAAAATGAAAATAAATATCAACTCGTTATTAGAGATACATGTTAGCTACTTTCGGTCTGCATGGTGCAGCTTCGCTATTTTTTTGATAATGATATTGACAGTATTTGTTACTGAAGATATCTTATGGTTTGTAAAGTCTGCAAAAAAAAAATTTACAAGTTTAGTGGATCTTTCTTACCTTATAATTATTGTTCTTCTCCAATTCAACTTTTTTGATTTTCATAAATTTAATTTTGTCCATCATGTCTATATTCTGAAAAAAGCCAGTGATATTGCATTTTGGAGACTTCAGATGCTTTTACATTGAATAGATTTTTTTTTTTTTTTTTTGAAATTTCACAATTTTCAAATTATCAAACCAATTTGTTTGATTTCTTCATTTTGAGTCATTTTGTCAAGATTTCCCCTCTAGAGATTACCCTTGTGGTTCTCAGCTGGTGAGTGTATTAAGAAGGCATTATTTTGCATGTACAAACCTTGATGACTGATTATGATCTGGCACATTTTATAGGTAATTTTAATGCAATAACTTTCAAAATAAAGAATCTTATGTCTCAATTGCATTCAATTATGATGGTTTTATGTCATTATTTGGCTAAGCAACAATATCATCACCTTTTGCTAATTAAATGTATGTGATATGCAGTGTTTCTTTGATACACCTGGACTAATATTAAAGAAAAATGGACTTCCTGGCAAAGATATAAGGATTCGCATGGAAAGTGCTTGGAGTTCAGTTGATTTATATGATTTGCTTATCATAATTTTTGATGTCCATAGGCATATTGCTAGGTCAGTAACCTATAACAGTTGATTCTTTGATATTTGGTATTTTGTATAAATGTTTTCTATATTGTTCGTCCATGACTTGTAGCAAGTTTTGTCTTCTTGAAGTTTGAGTAAGCAATTTTTTCCTTAAATATAGGCCTGATTCAAGAGTGGTGAGATTGATTGAACGTATGGGAGCAGAAGCAAATCCAAAACAGAAGCGGGTTTTATGCATGAATAAGGTTGATTTGGTTGTAAAAAAGAAAGACTTGTTGACTGTTGCCAATCAGTTCAGAGATCTTCCTGGATATGAAAGGTAGTTTTCTTGCTTGAAAGGGACAATTGGTTTATGTATTCTAGATTATGATAGATGAATTCTTAAGCTACCTTCTTTTAGGGTTTTCATGATCTCTGGACTGAAGGGATCTGGAGTAAAAGATCTTACCAATTATTTGATGGAACAGGCAAGTTCTTGATCTGGTTGTCCTTCCATTATGATTCATATCTGTCTGGTTTTCTTATCTCTTTAATATGCCATTGCAGAATATGTCTTCTAGCTTGATAATCCATTCTAAACTGTGTTGCTTTCCTACTTTTTATCTTGTGAAAATTTGCAAATAACATCCTGTGTCTTGCCATCCTTTCCCCTTCCTTTTTTAGAGGCTTGGAGTAATTTATCACAACAAAATTGATTGTTAAAGAATTGGGTTCAGTATTCTTTTGTTTTGTAAACATATAATGCTTGTAGTTGTTTCTAAGAAGAGATGCTGTTTTACTTATTTGAATTTGAATTTGTTGATCCCAGCTTGAACCACAACATCATCCTTTTTGGTCACCTAAACCCAAACCCTTATGAGCTTCGTCTAACCTTATAACTAATGCAAAAAGATAATCTGTCACCTTTTAATTTTATATGATTGAAGAAACTGATTTGTCAGTGATCATGGAGATTGTAATTTGTTTACGTTCTTTGATTTCTACATCTTCATAAATTATCAAATCTGAATGGCTGACTGCCTGGCGAGGATTTTCTGTTTATTGTGCTTGACAAAGTCACTGGAGCTTATGTTAACTTTAGTAGATTACTGGTGTGCTAAAGTAGTTTTATTCTCTTGGTGAAAGTTGTTTATTTGGCTTTGCTTCCGAATCTTCAGATTCCACTTCACACCACTTTTTCTGACACTGACCAAAAATAAAAAACACCTCCTTATCTGACTGGAGGAAAAATGTCTGATACTTTATCAAGCATTTCTTAGTGTGATGAATATGTTCTTGATATACTTCCTCAAAAAGAAGACACTGAAGTTCTATTTATACCATTCTATTGTCTTAGTCCTGTACAAAGTATTTCATCATAACTTTTGCTCAATGCTTTTCTTGCTTAGGCAGTTCAAAGGCCCTGGGATGAAGACCCTTATACAATGAGTGCAGAATTTATGAAGAATGTCTCATTAGAAGTTGTCCGAGAAAGGTTATTAGATCATGTTCATCAGGTAAAACTTGTCCAGTTATAATATGCATGACTTTATGAAAGGATATCCGCATTCAAAACAAGGACAACAAACTTTTCTTGTTGCAGGAAATCCCGTATGGTGTTGAACATCGCTTGGTAGACTGGAAGGAGTTGCGAGATGGTTCTCTGAGGATTGAACATCATCTCATTACTAACAAGAATAGCCAGCGAAAGATTCTTGTGGGGAAAAATGGCTCTAAAATAGGGTGAGCTTCTTCCTTATCTGAACTCCCTGTGGTTCTGTTTTGAATAGAATGAAAATCTTGAATGACTGCAATTCTTCCCCACATTTTGAGTTTTTTTCTTTCCCATTTGCTGACCTTAAAGTAAAAGGTCTTAATGTTCTGGTGTTAATCTAGTTTAATCTTGCTAACAAATCTGCTGGTTTTGTTAACCAGGAGAATTGGCATTGAAGCCAATCAAGAACTAAGGTCTATATTCAACAGGGAGGTGCACCTCATTCTCCAGGTTAAACTTAAAAAATAATACAAACGAAATAAAATGCCAAGAGAATTGCACCGTCCGAACATGCCATCTGGAGTTGTATATAACAGGGATTTCCGGGTGTTATTTTACCGTAATCCCGTTGGCTGCATATTGCTACAAATACAGGAACAAGTCCTCTCCAAGTGCAAATAGCAACGAGAGATACAATCTTTGCTTAATGCAGCTGATAGAGATAAAGAAAATGAGCAGAAGACGATCATATCTTTACAGGCAAAGTCCTCGTGATCTCCTTTTGTAATGCGCTGACTGCGCTAAATTATGACATGGATTGTTTACTCCTTCAATCTGAATTTTCTATGTTCTACTCCTAATTCATAATTTTGTCTTTTGATGAAAATTCATATTTACACATTGAATCTCATCAGATTATACATAGGTAAAACTATGGATCAGTGGTGTATTAAATTATTCTTTGGGGTTGGTGGCGTGACCTGACTTTGAATTGTGGTAATCCCTAATTCCTCATGTGTGCCTCTTTTGTTGGTTTTTGGTGTCTATATTACAAACATGTCTTAGAGAGTCTTGTGATATTGAGAGCTATACTCCGCTAACTGTTATGGTGAACTCATTATTAGTAAAGTGGAGTACTGGAGTTTGTCTGTGTGAGCATGTCAGTAAAACTTACGACAGTCTCGGAGGAAACGAAACATTGAAACATGAAACATTGAAACAGGAACATACCATTCACATCTAGCAATACACATGGTAAACAGTACTGAAACAGTGAACATTCCTACATCAAGTGCAAATGTGGAAATATATTAACCACTAAAAGACTGAAAGGGAAGTGTCAATTGGTCCAGAAGACCGACAACTGGGGTGGCAAGTCTCGGCTCATAGGCAAAACCATGGAGCTCCCCACCCTCTCCACCGCCGACGCCAAAACCACCATGGATATAAGGGCACGGTGGAATCCACTGCCACCTCTTCCTGCATATGTCAAATAGCAAAGCCCTGTCCGATTGCCGGATCATAATAACGATGAACTCTCCATGTCCAACACACTCAAACCCGTTCTCACCTTCCACTTCTGCAAATTGCAGATAGAGTTGCAGAGGCATCCTCTCAATCTCCACCCACGTCGTCCCACAAGCTTGCAAACCCCAAAGTCTCAGACTTTTTGGTACATTCAGCTTACTCTTCTCCACAGCTGCCACGAGAATCAGCTTTCCCCTGCTCTCCACCAGGCTTGGGGATCGGAGAAACCTCCGCATTGGGGCTTGAATCTTGAACCAATTGTTTACAGAAATATCATAAGCCAAGACGCTGAATGGACTATAATTCATGCAGTAGAACTTGCCCTGGACGTAAACCATTCGTCCTGATTCAAGGCTACAGAGCCTTGGAAGGGAAGATGTTGTGCCCCAGAGAGAGTAAAAGCCCCCTGCATCTATATGAAAGCTTTCAGTAGTTAAATTCTTAACGGCATAAGGAGAAATCAGGTCGTCTCCGGCCACAGCGACATCTATTGACGTGGGGCTAACTGTTAACCCAATCGAAGGGAAAAGGCGAGGTCTTAAAGTAGGCGGCAGTTGGCTTACAGAACCAACCAGAGGATTGCAGAGGATTAGATTCTTTGTTCCAGCCTCGTCGGAGACCCAACAGACCAACCCGCCGGAGGAGGAAGAAGGCGAGAACCCTGGTGGAATCAAGGTGAAGGAAAGACGGTACCATGCTATGTCGTAAGGATCAAAGAGATATCCTTCATAAATGGCTCTGTTGTCTCCATTACTACTACCACCATTGTTGTTGTTTCTGTAGATGTACGTCCTGAGCATTGTTTTCTGCTTGAAAAAGAGAAACCAATGGCGGCGTGGAGATACTTGCATATACATTTCCAGGAAGCTGTTGGAGAACAAGAGTCCATACCATCTTTTGCAGACAGAACGAGCACGGAAAAAGGCTGGAGGTGGAAGAAATGCAATCACTCGATCGAGCAGCCTTTGTGGTAGCTTACTCCATATCCTGCTGTCCATCCAAGGGTTGCTGGTAGTACCCATGCTAGAAGTACTAGTATTGATGGTAAAGGTGTAGGTAAAGGGTAAGGGCAAAGAGGTGTTAAAGGCGTCCATAAGGGAAGAAACAGACAAGGATAGACCGAAAAAACAGTTGAGATGGTGAGGGTTTTAGATATATCTATTTGGTGAAAGTTCTCAGGTAGGGTTGAGGGGGGAGATGCTGTTTTTTGGGCATGAGGAGTTGGTTGCTGCTTTGGGTAGGGGAATAGGTGTTTATATAGAAGAGAATGAGTTTCTTTTAGCTATCTTCCCCTTTTTTTCTTCTTTTTTTTTTTTTTCTTTAGTTTTGAGTTCTTTTGTTTTGTTGTTTACTTTGGTGAGAGAATGGCTGCAGTGATTCTGATGGTTCTATCCATCAATTCAGTGTTTCCTTGACAAGGCCGAGGAAGGAAGTACATAATACAGAAAGAGAGTGCAGCTGAAACTGTGTGTCCTTTGCACTGATTATTCACACTTTCACAAGACCTTTTCAACTTAATTAACAGAAGACCAACTCAAACTCTCACAATTGGAGATACAAAAGAACTCATTACTTTCCAATAACGAGAAAATATTAACATGGATTCGGATGGCATAATTTAAATTATTAAATAAGATTAAATTCTTGATATTAGAAAATTTTAATTTAAATTATAAAATAAAAACCTCTTCTAACAATGACTTACATTAATCCTTGCTAACTAACTTTCTTTCAATGTATGTAAAGATAAATTATGCACCCATCTTCATTTTTTTTAAAGTATATTTTCATTCATCTCGAAACAAAAATTTTAAATTTTAGGTCTTATATTTTTATCATTGAAACATCATTTAGGACTAGCATTTCCCAACCTACTTTGCAAGTAGTTGGACTTTATTTTTGCTTTGAAACAAAAAATATATATATAGCTAAAAATTTACCATTAGAAACAAATCATAAAGGGTCAATTGTTTTGTAATTTAAACTAAAAACAAGAACTCTTGGATATAAAAGGGTTCTCATTCAAGTGTTTATATTTTATAATTTAATATAATTTAGATTGTAAAATACTATTTTAATAATAAAATATCAAAATAATATCTTGCTTCTAATAAACTGCATTAAATAATAATATTATTATCAAATAATTTGTCAATTGACTTTTTGATTTCTAAATAAGTTATCTGCTTTCTTCAAAGTTATAACAAAATTAGAAACAAAGAGAAGAAAAAATGAAATCTTGCAATCTTGCACACCATGAAAAGAAGATCACATAAAATTATAAATTATATTGTTAAAGTCATGTTTTTGCTGGCAACCAAGTGAAAATTGGTAATATACATTATGAGAATGCTAAAACCATTGCAAATGTAAATATATCTATACAAAACCTAATTCCAAAAATAATTTATATAGTTACAACTAGCTCCAGACAATCACTTTTTTAAATTTAAAAATAAAAGAGAAAAAGAAAAAATGCATAAGATCAAAGCTCAACATGATGTAGTGTTTAGGAGCCATTGATGAAGAAGTTAATGATGACCACAGATGGAATAGAGATGGTGAATGGAGATCTTGTAATAGGAGAGAGATGGTGTAAAGAAATGATAAAAAGATTATTATAAGATCTTCCAACTAAATTCTCTCTAAAATGAGAATGTTTTTGTGGATTAGTGATCGTATTTTTTTTATTAGAGACTTTTCATATTAATTTAATAGTGTGAAATTCAAGTCACAACTCTAATATTCAAAAAAAAAAATTTTAAAAAAACTCTCCTAACTAAAAAAAATTTATATTCTCAAAAGTTATGCCAACCAAAATGCTCTTCAATTTTAAAAAATTACAACATTTTCACAAAAAAAAAAAATGCTATTCTCTCACAAAGCCATGCCAACTAAAATATTTTTTAAACTAAAAACTTACAACAATCTCACAAATAAATATCATTCTATTAAATTAAAAAAAAAAAAAAACAGATACAAAACCAAATAAAAAGAGAAATAAAAGGTGTGAACCGTACCCTACCATCCTTATTATTCTCATACTTAAGATGCGATCTTGTTAGATAGCTTTTCCTCAATGGTGGTAATGTAAAATTTTGAAATGAATTTTTGAGACATCATATCTGCTTGCAGTCTGTTTTGATGCACATGTCCAATCCCATCGATCTCAGCTTGGCGTGAACAACAATGAGAGCTTCTTTCTTCTTTTCTCTCTTCTGTGAGTCATAATATTCTCTTTATGTAACACTAACACACTTGGGTTTTGTTTGGTTTTGTTATGGGAAGCAAATCTAAGTCAGAGACTCACCCAATCAGTGTGTTGTTCTTGTCAATCTTCTAGTATTATCATTGTCTCAGAATCTTTCCCTCCATAAATGGATAAAACTGCAGTCATCAGATTTGGAAACTCATGTCTTCCTTCAAGAAATCTCCCTTTTTTAGTACGTGATTCTTTATTTTTGGTAATTGGTGTTTTCCTTCAAGCAACCTCTCTCCCTCTTCTGCCATAACTAGATAGTAGCTCCTTGACTCTTTTGGATGGAAATTGTCTTGGATCCTTGGGTCTTTGGTTTCCTCCTTGATTTTAGTTCTGTTCCTTGCTGGCTTCAGGACATCTCTCTCCCATCTCTAGTGTCCTTTGCATTTATAATGGGTTTGACTTTGCAATTTTAATCATTTTCTTCAACTGTTCAAACTTTGTTTTTTTGTTACTTTTTTTTCCCTACCTGAATAGGATGTGCAAGTGGCAAGTGCTTCATGAAAGTACTCTAGAGAAGTGAATAGTTTAGGACACGATGTTTTTGTTTGTCATCAATAAAATTGTTTAATTAATAAAAGAATAAAGGATTTTTAACTCATTTTTTTCCTAGTACATCATATAATAATTATTCTTCCTTCGTCTTAAAATTGATATATAAAAAAAATATTATATAATTTAAATTATATTAAATTATATAATACTTATTATTAAATAAAATACCTATTTTTTAATATTAAGAAATATCTCAAATTTAATTATTCTTATTTTACAAGGTATCGTAAGTGTAATGATAAGTGAGCGCTAAAACCCAAATGGCTTCCAAACAAGGTTAAAACTTATTTTAAGTTTTTTATTTTAATAAATTTGTAAGTTTTAACTCATTCACCTTATATTATAACACTATTAGCTCTTTACCTTAATAAGTTGGTAAATTTTAACCTTTCTCATTTTATATTATGATACTTTTAGCCCATCATCTATATGAATTAAAGAAAATAACCCTTATTTAAGGTCAGATTATAATGTTCTAGTAGTTTTGTTAATTAACTATTAACTTTATTAGCTGACTATTAATATTTCATTAAAAAAACTAACAAATAAAATTTAATTTAAATTTTATATTTTTTATAATGAAATACTAACAGATGCTAATAATCAGCTAACAAAATTAACAGTCAACTAACAGAACTAACAGAATATTATAATATGATATTACATGAGGATTATTTTCATATAGGTGAGAGTTAGAAGTGTTATAGTATGAAGTAATGGACTAAAACCTATAATGGTTAGTTTGGGAACATGAATTTGGTGAAATGTATTTGAATTTCAACCTTCTAAATTCAATATCACTGTTTGTTTTTACTTAAATAAAAAGTAATTGAATTTTAAAAAAATACATGTATTTCACCTGTGTAATTCAAAAGGTTAAAACTCATGTATTTCAATTTCACCCTCAAACCCATGAATTTTGATTTCAAATTGAATTTTCTCTACACTCTTTTCTCTCATCGACGACGATGAAACCTCCATTGTCCGTCCATCTTCTCCTCTACCATTGCTCTCCACCTTCTCATCGTCGGCCACTCACCACTCCGCCGGGATGGAGAAGGAAGGACGATGTGGTCGGTACATCACGTAGAGGACTATGTCGGCGATGGAAGCGAGGAGGGCAAGGATGAGGAGAATCAGAATGGACCAGAAGCAACATTGACAGCAAAGGTTGCGCTGGGAGCAGTAGTGGTGGTGGCAGTTGTAGGGAGGAGGGCAGTAGGGAGGCCGGGAGGTGGGATTATAAAGATTGGACTTGGTGGGTCCACCGTTGGTGGTTGCAGTCATGGTTCCGGCACCATTGATGGCGGCGGCGACGGTGTTGGTAGGTTTGGTGGAGGGGAAAACTCTGTTCATCATTGTAATCGAAAAACCAAAAAAAAAAAAGAAAAAAGAAAGGGTTCAGATTTGCAAGGCAGTGGCTGCTGGAAGAGTGAGATTTGAAGATAGAAAAATGAGGCGTAGATTTGGCCACCTCACTAGAATTGACGAATCTCTTGTACTTCTAATTCTACTATGTAAAAATTTAATGGAGGAAAAAGTATTTTACACTTAAGAATGTTTTAAGTTTGTATAATTTTAACTAATTAATAAAATAGGCTTTTTTTTCGTATTTAATGATTTTTATTTTGTCCTTCAACTTAGCTCTTGTTTTCAATTTCTTCCTAATATTTTTATTCATGCTAATTAAGACCTTATTGTTGGCAACTTATGTTATATATTATTCCCAATTAAGGCTAAAGTTCTCAATAAAAGTCATCTAAATACTTGGTTTCCTTATGTTTGACTAGTTTACTATTGATGATGTTTGATGCAAGATCTATTCCTTTTCAACTCTTAACCTTAACTCAATAGTTTACTTCGAAGTCTTCAACGAAAAATATCATATTTCTATTTCATTTTGCAATTAAGGAATGTTATCTCAACTACCTTGTTAATGAATATAGTTGTTCGAAGTCTTCAATGAAAAATGTCATATTTCTATTTCGTTTTGCAATTAAAGAGTGTTACCTCAATTACCTTGTTAATGGATATAGTTGATAATAATTTTAGATACGATTTTATTTTTTTATTTTTTATAGCGAAATTCTTTCATAATAAATTCATCTTTGCAAAAATTGAATATTGTATGACAATGAAAAAATGAACAGAAAATGGAGAATATGATGACAAATTGA